GTGCAAGTCATTTGTCACTGTCGACAAATAGCAAGTTGAAAAGGAGAAACGCGCAATAACGACCGTCACACATTAATGAGGGCCGACGTGAGAGAGGGGGAACCAAAACAAAAGGGGAACAGCTGCAAGGAAAGGGTTACCTTGTAGAGAAGGATCTCTCTCCATATATGGAGAAAAGAAAATAATAGCAATTTGGTTTCTGGGTTACACTGTGTAACTTACTTATTGCAGATTTTAAGCTGAAAAACACATTGCAGATGCAAGAGACATCTGAGTGCTGAGGCCCAGCATCCAAGGGATTTTAATTTAAAGTGTAAATCAACATTTATAGCTGCAAAAATGAAGGAAGATGAAGAATCTTTACTCCTTACTCCTTGTTAAAAGACAACTTTTTATTGTCTCTGATCACAGGTATCAAAAGACACAACCACACACACAATCAGCAAATAAAAATCTTGCATTGTGGAATGAAAGCTTGCTTTCAAAATAAATAAAATCACCAAACAAAAAATGCTTTGCATATGGCTCAACTCACAACAAGCAAAATTCCAAAGCTCATAACTCTACCCATTTTGGACTTACAAAAAAACTGCAGGGATTCAATTTAAAGCTAAAGATTATCTCTAATTTTTTTATATCCTATAAAAATTTATCCAACAAAGAGATCTTGAGATATTCTCACTTGTCTGAATGTAAATTTTTCTTTGGTGATAAGAATCCAGAAAACCTTCATGCCACATTCTCACCTCACTGATTCACAGGCTTTTGGTGCAAACAGTGACTTATTCAAAAGCCTTGTTCCCTAATGCATGATTGAATTTATTTCTGCAACATGTATTTTTCTACTGATTCAGTTCATCTGACTGGAACAAAAATTGGCTGCAATGAAGGCGGATGTGGTGCATGTACAGTGATGGTGTCTTGCGTTGATCCCGCTTGTCTGCAAGAAACTTCTCCAAGAACAGTCAAGTACGGAACGAAGTTTTCTTTCCTCAAATAAGTCTATGGAAACTCTGCCCAAATTTTAAAAAAAACGGAATCAATCAAAATGATAAAATGACTATAAGCCCTGGCCACATACGAGTGCCTTATTGGAATCTGTTCTAAGAAAATGCAAACAAGATGCTTGAAATTGAAGCACATCATAGCTCACATATTTTCTTGAAATATTTAGATAATAAATGAAAATTGTCGAAAATGGATGTGGTCTATCATCCAATCAGAAGAGCACGTAATTAATCAGGCATCAATGCACAAAAAATGCCAGGTGACAGAAGACCTTTGTCATCACTTAGTTCTTGAAGTGAAAATTAGTAGCAGTAGTGGTTATTTCCAAATTATGTTGGGGAATATATTGTCAATAATGCCATCATTCAAAATTACAATTAATAAATTCTGAAACTTGTTAAAAATCAGAAGAATCTGGCAATGGGCTCTCTGATATTTTAAAGCTGGGATATGGACAAATTGAGACAGACAATTTGAGACTGGACAAATGTTGATAGAAAATTCAAGACAGGGCCAAGTTGAGAGAAGGACAATTTGATGTGAGACAGCCCCAAAGTAACTGAAGATTCCCTTTGAATAGCTATTCATGCATATCAGAAGCATATTTATGTAACTGACAATGGTGCACTGATTATGATTCCTAACAAAAAAGCCCACAAAAAGAATAAAAGAAGGATGCTGGATAAGAGATGCATTTTTTAGGAATCAATTTATTTTGTGGACATATATACTTTAATCAGGCAGAAATATTTTATTTATTAAAATCTTTTTCACCAAACAGTGCAATTCTTGTTCTTTTTCACACCTTCAACATACAATATTATGGATAAACACAGTCAGGCCATTTTGTCTCAAAAAGTCTCTGTCTCAATTGTTAAAAATTTATTTGCCTCAACTTTTCTCTGTCCAGATACAAAATGTACAGATACAATACAGATGCACAATACAGATACCACAATACAGATACAACAATACAGATACAAAATGTATCTGTATTGATTTTCCCTGTCTTGAAAAGTCTCAGTCTTGATTTGTTCTTGTCTCCAAAAGCTTCTGTCTCAATTTGACCTTGTCTTGAATTGGGACTGTCTCCAATTGTCTGTCTTGATTTGTCCTATGGATCCGTTCAATTGCCCCTTCTCTCTGCTAACCACTGCATTTTAAAAAATATTTTTAAAAATCCAAGATTTTTAAAAGTACTGTTGATTAATTGAAGCAGTCAAAACCCTTTATTTATCCATGCGTGATGTAACCTGGGTTGTTGCAAGTGTTTTGTGGCTAATAGTAACAAATATTGCAGATGCTGCAAGAGCAGTAATTTTCCATAGTGATTTCATCAACTGGAATAGAGTGAATCCAAAATGATATGCTTGGAAGTTGTACCATTTTGGTTTATTGCTAAATTTTATTTGAATCCTCTTTAGTTCCTGGAAATACTCATCACTTTTCCAATCCTTCATTTCCTAATGCAGGCATATGTCAGTGAATGCGTGTCTTGTGCCTTTGCCATGGATCCATGGACAAGCAGTAACGACCATAGAAGGCATCGGTTCCACCAGGGCAAACAATTTGCATGCTGTGCAAAAACAACTCGCAGATTCGCACGGCACTCAATGCGGATTCTGCACTCCGGGATTTGTCATGTCCATGTACACGCTTCTGAGAACCCGAGCAGCTCCAACGTATCAAGACATGCTTGCCTACTTCCAAGGTTTTTGTCAATTCATCATATCCCATTCAAAAGCAATTATTTTATCCTTTTTGCTAGAAAATATGAAAGTGTTTGTGTATCTAAAAAAAATTCAGCCTGACAAATTGTTAGCACCCAGTGGCAGTGACATGGGTGGAGAAATCTGGCTGTAACTGGAAAGTTTTCACTCATCAATTCATCAGGTATAAATGTGATAACCTAGGAAACAATTTCAGAGCGTTATATACAAGTGTTATCCTGCAATTTGACCCTAATCTGTTGCCAAACTAGGGTCAAATTGCATAGCAGTTCATTTGTGAGGCACTTCATGAAATTCAGAAATAGAAGTACAAAACTTTGAAAAAAGTGGTCAAAGCAGGTCAACTTGTGGGGCAGGGGTCAAATTGCAAGTCAACCTTACTGCAAATTCAACCATCAAATTGGGGCATATGGTCAAATTGTGGGAGGTCACATTTATAGGTACCACCTGCAATTTCATTGCTTAATACCGTATTCACTCAAGTACCATGTGCACCTTTTTTCTCAAATTTCAGAAGAAAAAAGGGGTGCGCGTCATAAGTGGGTACACAATTTTCAAGAAGTTCTAGGAAGTTGTATGTTAATTATACTGTACTTGATTATAATTGAGAAATTTGTGACAAATTTACCAAAAGAAGACTTTTTACTGAAAAATTTGAAAGTTGATAAGATTCATGTTCAATTCAAGTCTAAAGTCAAATTTTTTTTTTCAAAATTTTGTGGTTCTAGAGCCACTAAAAATGGTGCCCGTCTTACTCTGGGATACAATTTTAGCCAAATTTTAAACTGAAAAACCCCTGTGCTTGCCTTACTTGAGGGCGCGGGGTACTCGAGTAAATACAGTACATCACAAATTTGTTTTTGCAATCAAATCTAGCTCCCCAAATATATCAGAGGTATCTTCCAACTGGGAAAACCATATTTCTCCAGGCTCAAACAAAAAAGAATTAGGTATCCTTCATTTGAAAGTTGCTGCAAAGCAATCTCGGAATTGGATCTCTGCAGCATAAACATGTTTGGTGATTAAAGCGTATTCCGAAATCACTGCGCTCAAACTGTTAACAGGAAATTAACAAGAGGACAAACAAGAGACGACAGGACAAACTCGGGTCTGTTGTATAATATATGCGCCACTTGGATAGTTAGTACTGGAGCAAAGTTTCATCAAGTGATGTTGTTGTTGTGTTCCCGTCCTATGCTGCGGGGGTTTGCTGCGACATTTTTTCTGTTTTCTGGGGAAAATAAGGTGGTATTTGATTTATGTTTTTATTCCGGGATGTTGGTGTGCAATTTTTCCAGAATAATACTGGTAATTTGATAGCCAGTCCATCAAGGAAATTGTTCCCAGGGGACAAGCCTCTGGATTATAATATGTTAGTTGTGTTTTCATCCGTCTCTGTCAAGCCATTGTATTTTTAAAATTACTTTACTGATTAAAAAATTATTTTAAAAAGGAATACCATGATGCATACATGCTTCCTCATTCAATTTTTTTATGTTGGATACCTTTGAAAGTTTAAAATGTGTTACAACTTGATGTCAGGGAGTCCTCAATTTTTTTTTAATTTATAAAATATTCTTGAAAGAGGTAAGATTCAATTGAGACGTACTATTTTCTTGTTTTTGCACATGATCAAGAAAGTAGAGAACTGTATTCATTAAAGGAAGTAGCCATGAATTTCCAAAATTACTTTGGATGCTGATTGTGTCAAATGACCCTGTCTTGTTTAAACATATTCTCATGACAGGATATTTCTTAATAACANATATGTATGCTAATTTTCATTCCCAAAGAAATGATTCAAATTATACTTAGAATTACACTGAGACCATGGCATACAAATGTCTCACCGTACGGAGACAAGCCAATTTGAAGACAATTGAAACTTGAAAAATCTGCTCAAATAAAATTTAGAGTTCTAGACAATTTCTTGAGATAATGATATTATCCAAATTCTAAAGTCTTTTGAAGAATTTGAGCTGTTTACATTCACAAACATTGAAAATAATGCATTCAATTATAAATTCACTGAAACCCTTTTTCAAGTACAGGCTAATTTTGTGCTTCTTTTTCAGAGTTTTTCCATAATCTGTGCACATAAAAGCAAGGCTTGTTCTTTTTCCCATTTTTTGAGCTCCTTCTGATGCCAAAATAAGATGAGATTCTATGATGTAGTTTTCTTCTGACCACTTTTTCTGCATCTTGAACTTGATAAAAAAAATTTATTTGATTTGTGGGAAATGCATTCATAATTTTGCATCAATAGGAGAACCAATCAATTATGTTTGCATTAAAGTATATGTCAAAATGTGATCCAACTTCTGGATGCTCCAACATATGGACAATGTCTAAGTAGTAAGCACCAATGACGTCTACATCATGAGGCCCCACTCTGCAATACTTAACTCAGTCCGCCCTTTTTTTCACTGTGGACTTCTCAATTAAATACTGGTTTGAATCCATTTTAAAAAAGGAACAATCGTAATTTTTAGTGCATGAAAGAAGTTTGCCTGCTGTGGTGCAGGTGGTACCTAAAAAGTCACCCCAATGCTTTGCCAAACTAGGATCAAAGTGCAAATCTGCCCAAGTGCAAGACACCCATCAAATTCAAAATATAAGTTCAAACATGCAAGAATATAAAATCAAAAAAGCAGGTTGAATTGCAAGACAATGAATGAATGAACAGAATGCTTCATTTTCCACATTTCAGCATTCACAAGGTTCAATCAACATTCCAAGCACATCCAAACTCCCTCTCCACCCAACCCAAATCCATTCAAACTCATCAATCCCCTCAGAATTGGAAACAGAGAAATGATCTGTATATTGGTACCAAAATAAAAATAAAATACATTTGACAATGTACAACTGCACAACTGATGTGTATACATACATTCCCTTCTTTACCGGCTATTGAAAACAAAATATCAGCAACATGAATTGCAGCGCAAGGCGGAATTATAACAATGCAGCAGTTACTGAACCCAATTTAAAGCACAAGGTCTTTAGCCTGCTCCCAGATAAGGTTTTGTTGAATGAACAATATAAAGAGAATCTTTTATGTGAAACCATATAAGGTCAACAGTTTATCTTGGTCATCTATGAATTCAGAAAGGGTATCTTCATTGATTTCCAGTACTTGTAAATCATTTTAAGCTCATTTCTATCAATATGGACTGCTGGGCATGAGAACAGAAGGGTTGAATTGCAAGTCAATCTCCCTAAAAATTTGACCATTGAATTCCAGGACAGTAAAATTGCATGAGATTGAATTGCAAGGTACCACTACCTTTACAGCAATGAATGATTTGAGATTGTGCCAAAACACCTTGTCCTTGCGGGACATTTCTTCGTGCCGGTAAACAAATCCCCACCCAACCAATATATTTAAGTGATGGCCCGAAAGGAAATGACATGCAGCAGCTATGTTTTCTATATAAAGGGAACTTGTGCCGTTGCACTGGGTATCGACCGATTCTGCAAGCCTACAAATCCTTCTTGCCTGATGATGGCGGCGATGCTAATGGCGGTTGCTGCAGGAGCAGCAAGGATACAAATGGCTGCTGTCGAGGAAATATCCCGACTTTGCAGGCATTTCCAGCTGCAGCAGGTGATGATGACTTCAGCAACTGCTGCAGTGATGGGGAAAAGTCTTTCTTGCCCGTGGACGAGTCCCAGGAGCCGATTTTCCCGCCTGAACTTCTGGTGCGTTGCACTAAAAAATGCTTCTTATTTTTGCACTATCTTTTTTTATTTCTATTATTTTTATTTTCAAAATCAAGAATTGATTTTTGTTCACCCTTAAGGTTGTTTTAAAATGTCCCAGGATGGATTATGTTTCATAAAGAAAAGTTTTGAAAACCGCATTTTACGAGTAATGTAAGAATCGCATATTGATTTTTTTTTCAACTCATTCGAACTTTTATGGGTTGTGAACCGATTAGTTTGGGAGACATAGGAAAGAAAGGGAATTTTTGTTTCAAAGATTAATTTTTCTGAATTTTGGATAGTGACATAACCAGCAAAAATCTCAATTTATTTTAGCTATAGGCTGACACAGTTTTAGCACCCTTACAAATGGGTGGAAAACTCTAAATGTAACTTGAAAGTGTCTACTTATGCAGTAAATTGAAATTTTCTTTATTTTTACCCATAAAAAATCCCTAAACCCTGGAACATTATGGGCTGTGATTTTTTTTCAATCACCCCTACCCTAACCCTTGGACAGAAGAAGGTTCTTTTCAGTCTAACAGCAGAGCCAGGATTTTTCTGAGGGTATACAGCAATTTCAGTGTTACCACAGGTCACTAAAATGCCCTTGGGGATGAGGCCCAAGTTGGGAAAAATCCTGCTAGAGAAAATGTCATTATCTTGAGAAATCCACAATGTTCATCTCATGCTAGGAATGCAGAAAAAATGCACCCAGTGAGAATTTTCTTTTTGCATGCAAAATTTTCTGAAGGATTATTATAAAAAAATCACACTCTTACTATAACTTCGGCCTTGGTTCAAAAATCATTTTTCATCCAGTTGTATGGGCACAAAATTTCAAAAAAATATCCTAACTTCGCTGCATAAGGGCAAAAAAATATCTGAGGTTGTATCAAACTTCTAACATGTGCCTGAAATATTCTCATTTTGCAAAGAAAAATCTGCTCACAATTTTTTTTTTCGGCACACCCTATCTTTACTGTAGAACGAAAAATAGGGCAGTTTTCTCTGCGTCATTCGATCACTTCACTCTCATCCTCGCCTTGGTTTTTGTGAGGCGTGCTTCAATCTGTTTTTATGCTCTTCGCAAACAATGACGAGGCCGGAAACCGAGAGGAAAAAAACTAACTCGCTGCGGCTCGGAACATAAAATAAGAAGCGTCTCTTTTCACCACACCACAACATATATAAGCAGCCATATTTCGTTTTTGTGCGTCTCATAGGTTCGTCAATATGTTTCCAGAAGCTGGACATTTATTGGAAAGCGCGTGTCCTGGTTCCAGCCGTCCAATTCCAGGCAGCTCCTGGCGCTGAAATCCAATTACCCCGACGGGAAAATCGTCGGAGGCAACACAGAGATTGGTTAGACCTTTTATGCAGTCACTTTCCTTTTGTCTTCTTCTTCTTCTTCTTCTTCTTGGTTATTTGTTTTTCCTGGGCAGTAAATCGGAAGTGAGTTTCCGGCAAATGACTGACAACATGTCTACTTCTAAGGAGGTGTGGAACTTCTGGTCTGTGGTACAGATGAACTTCGATAGCTGGAACCTCCCATGTTCAATATATATATTTTTTCTTTGTCTAGATTCCCATGAAAAAATGCATCCAAAACCTGCCTAACAGGAAGCTTTTTTTCCTTTTCCATATCTTGAAATTTCTTTATAGGCTTTTTGTCTATTTTTCTTTTCACGCCAGAAAGCAAAAACCATAAATTGTAATTTAATGTGTTTTGAAAATAAGTGGAAAGGCTGTTAATTTGGAAAAGTAAACCATGCCTCCACATTCAGCATCTTGTCAACCCATTTACGAATTAATTTAAGGACCAGGATATCACTGATTGCAATATATCCTGTAATTCTTCTTTTTCTCCCTCAACAAAAATACTTGTTTCCCTAAGTCAAAAGTCCCTTGCTACATTTTTTTGCTGGTTCCTTGAGGTTCAACTTAAATTCATACCCATTACCCGGCAAGGGTTCCATTTGGGACTCAAGCGCTTTTTGTCCTCCAAAAAATATCTTCATAACATAAATCATGTAAAAATATGCCAAGGCTCTGCAATGAAGCGATCTACAATTCAAGACCTCATTTGCTAACTTTTGTCCATTTTTCAATCCTCAACACCATTTTTTCTGAAGCCATTCACAAATTTTGTTGGAAAGTTGAAACATGATTTTTGGAATGCAAGAAAAGTATTTTCTAATGCAGGTAAACTGAAAAAATTGTATGTCCTTGTAGCCTGGTTAGTTGTGAATGCCTTGGCATATTTTATTTTATTTTCTGATATTTTGATCAATCACAACAGGTGCAAAATCCTTGATCCCCAAATAATGGGGCTGATGGCAAGTAAATTGTAAAAAAATCACTTTCAAAATTTCCTGAAAATATGTATAACAGTTTTTGGTCTGAAAGAATATGGTACCTGCCATGAGCCCCATTTGGGGATCAAGTTTAAAAATTTGAATATTTTTTAAATTTTTGATTTAAAAAGTGTAAAAATGTTTCAGCCTATATAAATGTGAATGAAGTGAACTGAATAAAAAATGGGTGCATATAGGAAATTTGGTAGTTGATGGGTTAACAACACAAGCTACAAGTATACGATTTTGCATCTTTTGAGGATGAGAGAGGTCAAAAACCTGAGAAGGCTGTTGTTAATTTTGGAAAAAATTTTGCCATTTAACAGGATGAAGACTGTCACAGTTTTGAGACACGCAAAGCTGGGTTTAATTGTGTGAGGAATTAAACGTTTCGAAGTTAGGATCCCTCATTTCAGCTCATTTATCACATAATCTAGCAAATGAAACCCCAGGAGTCAACACTAATTTGACTGAGTTTCAGGCATCTGTGGCTCAAACTGAATTCAATTTGTGTTTTTCGTTAAATTTTCTATCTTTATAGGAATTGACGTTAGGCAGAAAGGTGCATTTCATGCAGTCTACATTAACCCGCGTTGGGTTCCGGAAACCAATGTGCTGGAGATTTCCCTGGAGAAGGGTTGCGCTCTGGTCGGGGCATCTGTCACCTTGTCACGTTTGAGAGACACCTTGGCAGAGTTCCTAAACTCTCCTGACATCAGTTATCACCAGAAGGCAGGTGAGAAATACAAAATGAACTTGTCTTTGAAGCGATTATCCTCTTGTTCACTTGGATGATGAACCCACACATATAATCCACAACAGATCCAATTTTAAATTGTGGGTTTTAAAAAAAGCAGTTGGAAATAGCAAATAAAAACAATTGAATCATATTTTTGAGGTTTAAAATTTTTCTACTCATATCTTTCTGACATTTTTTTACCTTATGATGTGATTTGAAAATTAGATGCACCAACCTTTAAAATTTTGTGGACAATATGTTTACCCAAATGGCAAGTGCAGACATCCACCTCATACGGATTCTTTTTATATAAATCTTAAAAGAAAAGTGTAGTACTTGAGATAATATGGTACAGGTGGTACCTTGCAATTTGACCTCCAACAATTCAACTGTCCTGCCATTTGACAGTTGAGTTTGCACAGAGGTTGACTGGCAATTTAACCCTTGCCCCAAAAATTGGCCTGCTTATTCCTTTTTTGCGTTTTTGTACTTATATTACACAGAGTGTCTTGCAATTCAACCAGTTTGCAATTTGAACCTAGTTTAGCAATGGATTAGAATCAAATTGAGAAGTACCACCTGTACTACAGTACTGATGCTTATAAAAGTAGTAAATTATTTTATAATAAGCCTTTTCCTAGTATGTCACAACAGTTTATGATTGTAATGCACAGCCAGTTTCAATCCAAAGTTGATAAAACGCTTGCTGAAAGAAAAATGCAGGGAAATTTTGGAAAATACATCTGTTTAAAAAAATGATGTATTAAACTTAACCTGAGATTTGTTGGGGGAGCCTCAGGATGTTCAAAAGGTGTGAGAAAAAGATGTCAAAGATGACAAAAAGTATCTCACAATAAGGATGATTGAATGAAAAGGACAAGAGGAATGGAAGATTTAATGGAAAAGAAGGATTTGAAACAGAACTGATATAAAAATGCAAACCTTTTGAATAAGGAAACAAATTAATTAGAAGATAAAACTTGATTGATCAGCCAGGCTGCAGCTGGGACAATAGTCCTAGTTTAAAGAGCTGTATTTTTTGTGAATAAAACACTTGGTCAAGATTTCGGAGTTGCAAGTATGAAGCTTCTCTGCACAGAGATCTGCTTGGGTCAGCAATTCAAATGCAAGTGGTAAAATCATCCAAAATTTGGAAATCAGGAAAGAAAGAGTTGAAGGACTTGGTTTAGAAATCTATTCAGAAATGTCCTTGCTGGGCCAGGGAACCAAACTCAGGTTTGTTTCTCAGGCTCCAGCAGAAAATGCTAATTTTTCTTGAAATTTTTGCAAAGCAGAAGAGTAATTTAATTTAATCTGGCGCCAACTTGTCAGCATGCCAAAGTTTTTTCCAACAAAAGATTTCAGCCAAATCTTATATTTAAATTTCAGGAAGCATGAATGGACTGGTGGCAATTGTTGAGATGTTGGACTTGTTTTCTGGTCAGCAGATCAGAAATGTTGCTGTAAGTGAATTTTTCTGGACTGTTCAATATGCCTAAAAATTGAAATTTACATATGAAAATTTACTTTGTTTTTTCCTTAGACATTGGTGGGAAATATTGTCACTTGCAGCCCGATTTCTGACCTGAACCCTTTGCTTGCTGCCATGGGAACAAAACTGATCCTCAAGTCATTCAGCAGTAAGTTTTCATAATATTTCAAATAACTAAAAAAATGCATTTTTTTTGGAACACCCCGTGGTCTGAAGACGGACACATTCTTTTCTGTTTTTCTTCCTTCTCCTTTGGCATCTACATAGATAATTCAGCAGGTCGGGAAGTGGTATTGGACTCTGCATTTTTCACCGGGTATCGCAAGAACTCTATCCTTCCCAACGAAGTGGTGGAATCCATTTGGATCCCTCTGGGAACCCGGGTATCCCAGAAAAATGTCACGGAATTCGTCAAGGGTTTCAAGGTTGCCACCAGGAGGGATGATGATATTGCTGTGCTCAATGCTGGCTTCAGGGTTGTCCTGGACTCGGAAACTTCTGATGTGCGACATGCTTCCTTGTGGTTTGGAGGAGCTGCTGCTGTGACGAAGGAGGCAGAATCTGCTGTCACGGTCATGATTGGGAAGTGAGCTTCATCTTAATCATATTTCAGTGACTGGATAGGCTGCATAACATTGGTAGACTGTGTTCAAGGATAGGCCACATGTATGTTTTGGCTGCATGTATGCATTGCTCAATTTTATCTAAGAATACCACAATATTTCCAAATTTAAGGTAAACCAAAGTGAAAGAGCATTTAGGCAGCTCCCAAGGAAATTTAAACTTTAATCAAGGGAAGAAAATGGAACAACAGGCAACTGTGCCATTTTTAGTGAGACTGGTGATTTATTCATAATGCAATACACCTTATATACTCAGCACAACAAGCATGAAAACATACAGGAACTTCCAACAAAAACAAGTCCTGAAAACCAGGAAATTTTCCGAGGTGAAATTTTTTATATTGCGTAATTTGCAATGCAAAATACCAAAGCAAATATCTTGCTCAATTTTGAAGATACCGAATTCCAAAACAATTTTAGATCGCAAAGTTTTCTACAATTTTAATTTTAACTCAAATATTGAAACAACTCTTAGTTTTTGAGATATTCTAATTTCCGCAAAATTACTTATCCACCGAATTGCTTTGCTGATAAAATCAGCCAGCATTCTTGGTTTCTTGCCCTGATAAAAATCGCAAAAAGCCAGGCGCGGAAATTGAAAAAATTCATCCCCACTTGGTGCATTAAAAAAAAATGCACAATTGCAGCTAATGGGTTTAAGCAAAAAGTTCAGGCTGCTAAAATAAAATGTGTTATTGTTCTTCAATAAAATCAAATCCATTAATGAATATTCATTCCTGGCTAGGTGACTCAATTGTACTTCTTATACATGCTCAGAGGCGGATTGCATTTAATTCATGCAACATGTATGTATAATTATGTAGGTAGATATGCCACATGTGAGTAAATCCCTAATAGGTCACATGCAAGTATAGGCTGCATGCAAGTATAGTACTGTATATAGACCACTAATGTACAGGACACATGTATGTATTGGCCTTATGTAAGTACAGATACCATATTTCCTCAAGTACCATTCACCCTCAAGTAAGATGCACGCCAGGGTTTTTCAATCACACATTTTTATGAAATTGTATACTTGAGTGAGACATGCACCACATTTTCAATGACTCTAAAACCACAGTATTTTGAAAATAGGCACACCCAAATTTGAATTCAGACATGAAGTGAACCTGAATTAAACAAATATCTCCATTTGTTTCCATAACAATAAGTTTTTCTGTTAAAAATCGGTCCAAATTTCCCTTCAGAACCGTATGTAGTAAGCTTCTGAAAATGCAGAAAAATAAATACTCTACCTTCTTATGACACATGGCCTGTTTTTCCTCTGAATTTTGAGAAAAATATCCAGATTTCACATGTGGTACCTTGCAACTCGACTCGCCTGCAGTTCATCCATTGCACAATGTTATGGTCAAATTTGCTGGGAGGTTGAGTCACAATTTGACCTCTGTCCCACAATTCAATTCACGAAGAGATCAAAAACATCAAATAAGACGCAGAAAACAAAAATGGCATTGACCAATGTCTCACAATTTCACTACTTCACAATTTGGCTGTAGGCTAGCAATGGATCAGGGTCAAATTGCCAGGTACCACCTGTACTCAAGTAATTGTAGTAGAATATAATCCACATGTAGGTATATGCCACATGTGACATAAGTGTAGGCCGTATGTGAGCATAGGTCACAACAAGTATAGGTTGCTCATCCCCATGCAGATGGACCTCTCTGAGTTGAATTTGAAGGGACCAAAACAATTTTGGAGAGGTTAGGGAAAATAGGCCTGAACATATTTGGGGCTTGAAAATAATTCAATTGAGGTAGGTTTTGACTTGGGAAGGTTGCAGTTGAAGTAGTCTTGCGGTATTACAATTCATGACTGGGAGATAGTGAAAAGGATAAACATTTTGTGTTTCTCAGGAAATGGGACTTGCACATATTAGATGAAGTCATAGATGCCTTAGGGACTGACATTGAGATTCCTGATGATGCCCCAGGAGGTAAAGCAAGCTACAGAAAAACTATGATAACCAGGTATGAGTATGGAGACATTTTCTTGAAATTGATTTCTTTCTGAAAGTGTGTCTCTCTGTTTTAAGTTTTTTCTTCAAATTTTGGCTGGAAGTTTCCCATAGTTTGTCCAACCCAGAAGAAAAATGGAGCAATGATGAGATGGGCTTGTCTCCCTTGGGTGCACTGAAAGCTGCTCAGATTTTTCCAAAGGTATCCCCAAGACGGGAAGGGGTGCAATTTGTTGCAGATCCTTCATCTTTTTTTAGAAAATATCCTGAACCAGCTCACTGCTATTATTAGGTTCCTGATGCTCAGAAAAATGTAGATCCTGTTGGAAGACCTGTACCCCATTCCACAGCTTATGAGCAGGTGACAGGAGAAGCCAACTTCCTGGATGACTCCCCCAGAATGACTAATGAACTGCATTTGGCTCCAGTGCTGAGCACAAAAGCCTGCAGCAAGATCAAGTCTCTTGATTTCTCAAAGGCCCTGCTGATACCAGGTGTCAGAGGAGTCTTGTCAGAGGCAGACGTTTTGCCAGGGAAAAACTTTCTAGGCCCTGTGGTGAAGGATGATGCAGTTTTCCACTCCACTGAGGTATAAAAGCTTGCTTTTTGCTGGTTTTCTCATCTCTGAGCTGCCATGGACATCTGACAAATGATATCTTCAAGCGCGAACTTGACTTCCTCTTCTTTTTCTTTTCCCACCCTAATATTTTTGAAAAAAAATCTAGAATTTTTAATGGTTTCTCATGGCAACCGTGGTTATCAAACTTGATTCCAGGTCAGTTCATGTGGTCAAATTATTGCTGCTGTTGTAGCTGAAACTCCTGAACTTGCAAGAGAGGCTGTGAAACATGTCAGGGTTTTGTATGAAGAGGAAAACCCCAGCTCAAGTCCTATCCTGACAATAGAGGCAAGTGTTACTGTATCACCTATACCAGTGTTCCCCAACCTTTTCAGACCATGGTTTTGGCAAATTTGCCTACACATTTTCTACAGATTGGCAAAGTTTCATCGAATGTTTGCAGACAAGAATATAATTTGTGAAAGAGTTTATGGCAGGTGTACAAAAATCCCCTGCTATTTTGCAGAAATTCATGCAAGAACCAATGAAGCAGATATAGTGGAATGTCTTCAAAAAGTTAGAAAGGTGGGCTTGAAGGAAGGTTTCTCAGAATGAAAAATTAAAATAATTCACATCAGCTGGTGAAAATTTGTCTGAATCATATTTAGGAGAAAAGCCAACAATTTTTTATCAAAGTCTCAACTGCCATTGTCTTTCAGAAATTTCAGATGAAGACAATGAATGAATGAACAGAACATTCTATTTGCCGCTTTTCAGCGTTCACAAGGCACAACCAAGACTCCCGCATTCAAAGTCCTGCATAAAGACAACAAACTTTAGTGCTACTTTTCAAGCAATTATATTGGAGAAAATTTTCTGCAGACCAGCAAATAACTTCTGCAAAGAATTTTTCAGGGAACAATTAACCTATACAATCCAGATCCGCAACTTTCAATGAACCCTTTTGCAGGATGCCATTGCTCAAGAATCATACTTCTTCAAAGAAGAACTCTGCAATGGTGATATAAGTGGTGTGATGTCATCTGCGCCCTTTGTTCTCAGTGGAGAGACTAGGGTTGGAGGACAAGAGCATTTCTATTTGGAGCCTCAAGCATCACTTGCTATTCCTAAAGGAGAAAAAGGAGAGATGGAGATTATAGCAACTACTCAGGTTCTTTTCAAAGAGCTACTTTCTCCTGTATTTGGCCACATTATTTATGTTTTCCACAGTGGCCTGGTTTGGTTCAAGAACAAGTTGCTGATTTGCTTGACATTCCAAGCAACAGGGTGGTGGTAAAGGTGAAAAGGTTGGGAGGTGCCTTTGGAGGCAAGGAGCTGAAGAATTACATGCTGGCTCTTCCTTGTGCTTTGGCAGCTCAAAAGTGAGTTGGACAAAGAGGGTTATTCATTGTAAAATTAATCACAGAAGGCTGCAGGGATTTGAAGGAAAAACAATAATGATTAAAAGATCAAAAGTCTGTGAGAAATAAGATTTTTTCCTAGCATTCCTAACCCAAATATCATCATTGAAAATGCTTGAAAAAGTTAGATTTAGCCCTGATATGAACATTTTGAATGTTTTCACAGCACTGTGTACAGCATTAATTTCCCACTGCATTATTGTTGAATTTTGTCTCAACTGGCGTTTGTACATATCATAACGAAAACAAAACCCATGATTCTGAGGGGCAGTTTCAAAAGAAAAAATGTCAGACATTCATTATGGGTTGAAGCAGTTGTCCGCAATATACTGTGAAGTTTATACCTAAGTCTTCAACATGATTTGTCCCTTGGGTCAATTGTCATGTGAAATATAAATAGTTTCAAAAAAGTATACAATTTTCATCTAGTGCCGCACAATTATTGTTCCAGTTGAAGTATTCCATCATTTCTTCTGAATATTCAACTTTTCTACTCAGCAATCTGAATTAGGTATGGATTTTGGTTGAAGTAAAATTCGTGTATGTCATTAAAAAAAACCCTGATTCTGCTATGAAAATTTAAAAAAAAACATCCAGGCATCCATGAGTTAAAAGTTTTAAAACAATGTCTGTCTTGCAGCAACTTGAATATTTCTTAAACATGGCTTGCCCTTTGGGGTTTTTTTTATGTAAGATATTCAATAAATAGTTTCACAAAGTGTAAAATTTGTATGAACTGCTAGACATTGCTTGTTGTTTGAGTTCAAGTAGTGTATTGTAATAATTTATTTACTTGCATTGTAGCTGTTTTTCATTAGGATTACAATTGATTGTTGAAATGCCTTTGATATAATGTGAAGTATACAGTAACATGATATAGTGTAATCTTCCCTTTCAAAGGTACAATTGCCCTGTGAGATGTGTCTTGAACAGGATGGAAGACATGAAAGCAACTGGTCAAAGGCATGGATATCTAGGCAAATATAGAGTGGCTTTCAATTCGAAGGGACAGCTGCTGGGTCTGGATCTTCAACTGTACCATAATGCTGGGTACAGCCAAGATGTTTCTGTTCCAGTAATTATCCCACATTTCAGTTTCAATTATTCTTACTGTACACTGCCTTTGGTCTTCATTCTACAGTTGATGCAGAGTTCCATGTTGAGGTGCTGCAATTCTTACAAAATCCCTGTTGTCAGGGTGAGGGGATTTTCTTGCAAAACAAATCTGCCTTCCAATACAGCAATGCGAGCTGCTGGTGTGATGCAGCCATTGATAATCTGTGAGCAAATTGTGCAGAGAGTAGCTGAAGAACTTAAGATGGACCCAAATGAGTTAATTAAAAAAAATAAGTTTTGAATGTGGATCATATCAGAATTTGAAGCAATATTTAGCCATGATAACCCTGAGCATACGGGTAATGTTTATTTAAAATACAGTAAGATTACTGTATACTGAGACCAGAAGATTATGGATGATGAGCAATAATGTCATCCATTACCTGTGGACTGGTGCCAGTCCGCAAGAAATTTTCATCAGCATACTAAATTTATCAAAGGTACAGTATCTTCAAGAAGAAGTTGTAGATAAAGTTTGCTGTCTTAATTATTTGAAATATCAAGAAGACAATTGCCAATTGATTTCATCTTATGAAAATCAAAAGATGGCTTTTCTCCTAATGAAAAGTTAACACTGGCTGAAATGAATTATTTCAAGTGTTCCCTCTGAGAAACTTTTCTTGAAGTCCAGCTTTCTAAGTTTTGAAGATATTTTACTACAGCTGCTTCATTGGTTCTTAACTCAATTTTTGCAATACATTTTTTGTTCAAGGACTTCCATGGAGGGTATACGAAATTTTTTCCGCTGGTCTAAAAAATTAAATGGAACTTTGCTTGTCCACAAACAATTTTATGGAAATTTGCTGGTATGTGGGCAAAAAGTTTGGGGAACACTGCTCTATAGACAAAAAATGATTTGATAAATGTTGGGCATGCACGCCGTTGTTGGAACTGTGTGAAGGTCTATAAAATAATTATTAATATAAGTTACTCCCAAGAAGAAGTTCAGTAGAATTGAAGGTGTGTTAAGCTTTTACTCAAAGTTGTACACAAGCCCAAGCCCGTAAAAGTGGTATTTACTCTTGTGTGACATATATATTATTCCTCTTTCAATTCATAAGAATTCCCAGACTGAATCTTTTATTTTATTTATAAACAACGCAACACCAGCTTATATTGTGGCCAGTTGTGCCCAATAATAAACAAGCTGGCTACTGGAATTGGTTTAGCTTGTTGCTCAAGGCCCAACTGTATTTCTAAACCTTATAATCTATATCATAAATCTGCACTACAGGTTTTGTTTTTTTAATTGATCTTACAGCTGAGAAAGGCAAACCTCTTGAGGACTGGCACCAAAACTCATTATGGCAAAGTTCTGGAAGACTGTACTTTGGAGCAATGCTGGGATGAGTGTCTTCTGCAGTCCAAGTTTTCCTCTCGGAAGGCAGAAGTTAACTCTTTCAACAAGTAAAATCTTACATTGTTCAAACTAATCTCTATAGAAAACTCTAATTTTTAAAGCGTCATTTCATTTCAGGCTTCATGATTGGAAGAAAAGAGGCATTTCTATGGTTCCAGTCATGTTTGGACTAGCTTTTCCTGGCTCAAATTTGAACCAGGCAGGGGCACTTGTCATGATATACAAAGATGGTTCAGTCCTGATTTCCCATGCTGGTGTTGAAATTGGCCAAGGCATTCATGTCAAACTTGCGCAGGTATTTCACAATAGAATGCAAATTTCACTTTTTCCTGAAGAATTTTGAAAATGCATCAAAACTTGCAAAATGATTGCCCCAGGAATGAGCTCATGTAATATATGTTTCTGCTGGTAGCTTTGAGAAATTTCTTTCACTGGAAACTTCCTCACAATACAATTCAAACTTTTTAAAATTGGATTGTCTTAGATTGCCAGCAGAGTTCTTGACATTCCCTTGGAGTCCATCCACACAGCTGACACTGCAACAGACAAAATCCCAAATGCAACATCAACTGCTGCATCTTTCACCACTGACCTTAATGGACCTGCTGTAAAAGTGAGTGGACAGAAATTTCTTACAAAATCAAGTTTCATTCATTTAGGAGCAAAACAATCATTGTTCTTTGTGTGCCTCTATATAAGGCCAAATTTTCCTCAGCATTTTTCATTGCCATTCAAGTACATGTATTACGTGTTCTGGCAAAAATGTATACCCAGTAAGGTTTTTCCTTCTCTCCAAAGATTTACTTTGATGGAAAAGTAGTTGTCAAACAAACTCATCAAGAGGAAGTACTAATCTCTTTTCCCCCTTCTTAATCTTTACACATTTCTATACATCCGCATGAATTTGTTTATATGCTTGTTTTATATGCTTGGATTTGTATTTGCATTTTCATTTGGTTTTTTCACTTGTGCAGTGTTTTCAGTGTGCCTTTTATATTATTGTGATATTTCTTTGCCATCAAAGTACACAATAAATCATTCTGAAAAAACTACAAATATTTATTTGTGGTATCCCCTTGAATATGCAGTATTATGTTCTTGGCTGCAAATTGGCTGATTTCCTGTAATTCAATTGTTCCACTACATCTTCATCACTCATTCTTTTGTGGGTTACCATGATTTCCCAACACTAAAGTGTACCTTCAATCCAAACTGTAACGTTTAAATCCATGTGCTTCTTTCCACACAGTTTCTGAAACTATCTCTCAGCTAATCATTGTTTAAACAGATAAACAATTGGAACAAAGATTCACACCCAGAATCCCAAAGCCAATTACAAAATACTGTAACATAAGCAATTTGAAGAAGTTCATCAAGGGATAAGTGTGGATTTCTCAACCAGCTCCTTTGTCCCTCCTGATGTAGATTTTTCTGTAAAAAAAAACCAAGGAATCTTCAGCATAGTTCTCATAGCTGAATTTTTTTTAAATACTTCTTGTTAAAGAAAGCTTGTGAGAAGCTGGTGGAGAGACTGAGGCCATACAAACATGCAAACCCACAAGGAGGCTTCAAAGACTGGGTGCAAGCTGCCTACATGGACAGAGTCAGTCTTTCTGCAACAGGCTTTCACAAGTAAAAACCTTCACAAATTTTTGAAAAGACAGTGTCATATTCTCAAGCATTTTTTTTCACTTTTATATCAAGAACACCAGGGTTGTCATTTGACTGGATTACAAAGACTGGGAACCCTACAAGTTACTACACCTATGGTGTTGGCTGATCAGAAGTTGAGGTGGACACTTTGACTGGGGAACATCAGGTTGAATGTTTCATCTGCTGTATTGCATTTTTATGATCAGACCAGAAAAAAAGCCATGATAAATGGTGGTGGTTTGCAATTTGGTTTTGATTTGTCACCAAATGATTGCCTAATTGCTTGATTACTTTATTTGGGAGGCTGTATGGGTTTTTTGCCTTTGAAGATTTGACAAGATGATTTTGTAACTGATGAACTGGTGGCTAAAATTTCAAATGGCATCACCATACAATACTGTATTTAATTCGATTATAAAATGTGCAGAAATTTGAATTGTTCATGGCAGATTCTCAGGACAGACATTGTCATGGACATTGGAGAGTCCTTGAACCCAGCAGTGGACATTGGACAAATTGAGGGCGCATTTGTGCAAGGCTACGGAATGTGGATGATGGAGGATTTAGAGTTTAGTCCTTCTGGAGAATTGCGCACAGCTGGTCCATCAAACTACAAAATCCCCACTTCAAGGGATGTGCCACAGGAATTCAACGTGTCCCTTCTGACGGGGTCAGCCAACAAGCATGCAATTTATTCTTCCAAAGTGAGCATCATCTTCTGTGATCATCTATTTTGAAACCAGTTTTCTCACAGGCTACAAAAGCCTTTGAAAAATATGCCCCAGACAAAGTGATTTCCATTGAAGAGCATACAATATTATTCCATGGTATTGTTGTCTGATATTAAATAAACAACTTGTTATCCTATTTCCTGAAGAAATACAAGAATCGGTGAATCTTAAACAAATGCTTACTATTACGTCTAATGGTAAGTTTGTTACCAACCTCGAATCTTGGAATAACCAATTCTATCCTGGGTTTTCACAATTGTCTTCCGCGTACTTTGCGGGTAAAAAGGATTTTTAGCAGTTAAATAAGTAAGCACCAGGATCTCTGCTGAGAGGCAAACAATATGTATTTCAGTGCACAACAGTCCACGAGTGAGTCAGGACACGAATGCTGAGTAGCATAGGATAGTACATTGAGTTTTAAAGGTGGGCAGCTAACAGGTTTCGCGACTTGCTGGCCCCAAAGGAATAGATATACACACACATACATCTGACCGCGAGAGGACAGAAAGCTGGATAGCTAGCTGGCCTCGAAGCAGGTGCGCGTGACGGGCGTATGCATATTTGTATGCATGAGAAAAAAGAAAAAGAGCAGAATGCAATTGAACACGTAGAGAGAGTAAGAGTCAGCATATGCTGCTCGTAAAAATAATTTTGGATCACAAATCACCCCACACAAAAAGAGAACTGAAGCTCCCGCGTACAAGTGCATTTAGAGCTAATTAGTTCCGTGCCGCACGTTTTCCTTCAAGAACGTGAGGAAATGCATGAACCATGCATACCAGGACCCTTGCTGCTGGTATGCCATACCAGCAGGCAGATGACAACACTGATGTTGGCTCTGAGGTTGACTTTCAAAATGTCACCCTCCTCAGACAGGTCTGATCTCTGGTAGGTGATTGATCTCTGTGACCAATTCAATGTTTTGAAATTCTCTTGGTGTCCTTGCTATTCTTTTCCTTTTCATGAATAATAGTAAGAAGACGTTAGTTTAAGCCCGTTCTCGCGTGTTTTCGGCGATAAAATAACTGATATTCGTGGATCGCTACGCCGCGAAGCTATCGGCAATATTGGCGATTTTGCGAATTTCGCGAAATTCAATCACGAAAATCAAAGAAATCGCGTAACGATGCCTACTAAAAACATTTGTTTGGGCATTTGTAGGCAAGAAGCAACAAGTTTGTGCAAAAAAATCGTGGAAGAGCCGTCAAAAATCTCGCGATGTGGCTTAACAAGGCAAGTCCCTTAGACAATTTTTCAAATTCGCGGTAAACGTAAAATTTCAATGATTTCCAGTTTGGTTTGCTGTGTTGGTGTCTCCTGAGTGTGAGTCATCAGGTTTCGGGCAGGTGTGGCGTCCAAGATGGCGCCTTCGTTTGTTCAAACGTTTGCGATGAGGACGTTTCGGACTCGGAGGCTTTCGGGTTCGGAGTGGACTTTGTTGGACGCGTTTTAGACTTGAACGGCGTGCGGTTTTACGGTCTTTCGGTATGTTGAAGGTAGATGTCGCTAGTTGATCGGTGAAAATGACGCTTGATGTTATTTTCGTTTCTAGAGCGTTAGATTGTACGCTCGGACTCGCTGCGTCGGGAAGATAACGCCGGCGATCCGCAGGGTTGTTTCGCCCTGGGAATTGTGTGGGGGTGCTGCTGATAAAGATCCAGCAGAGGTTTTTCGGACCCGCACTTCGACGTTGTTGACAGGCACCATGACGGTTTCAGGAACGTTGCCAGGTCAAAAAGTAGAGGTTTCCACCACAGGTAAATTAAATTAAATTAAATTAGTGCTCGGAAATATAAAAATAGCCTATTTTCCAGAGCTGACCATAAAGCAGACTTCGTTTTCCATTCCTGTGGTGCCTGAGGTTGAAAAGACTTTGGAAAAACCCAATGCGGTGACGGTGGGTTATTCCCCCATTTTAACCGCATTAACTATGGTACCTGAAGTCCCCTTGAACCCGACTAATGGTTCCGTGACCTTTGAGAATGGTACGGCCAAGGTTACGGCGGAAGTTTCTGGAACGATCACTTGTTCTTAAAATAGGCACAACGATAGTAATCCGAAAGAAACACATTTCTTCTAAAATACCCTTTTCATCGCAATTTTCAGCTGTTCCCACCGACAATGGATGCGATCTTAATATTGACATTAATTCTTGCGTCTGGAATTGAGTCGCTGAAGGTTTGCTCTCTGCGTCTATTAGTTTTGTCAAGGATTTTTCTAGTTCTTCATTTGAAATTAGCGTACTGGGGAATTGGAATCTATGCAACAAATCGATGTCTCGGATCAGGGAAATGATGACATCGGATATTTGAGTCAATTCAAGGCTCAAACTAAGAGCTCTGATCCAATGATCTACAACATTGTCATTTGATGCGTTTAAACTTTGAGCTAAAGTTAAAGTGGAATCAAAAAGATTGTTTCCTTCAATACGAAAAGGAGACGCTGCATTAACCAAAAGTCTTTTTGCTGGTATGATATTTTGAGTTAATTCTTCTTTCCTTCTAGAAAGGAGAGGAAGCAAATCTAAATACGAAAAATCCTTGGGGAAATTTTTGATGAAACTCTTTAGTCGCTGTTGCAAATTCTTTAAGAGGCTCCCAAAATGTAAACTCTTTGTTTTTAACATATCCAATGACACATCTGACATTACATTAACGGTTTCCTTTGCAGCACGAGCATCGGTAAAAGTTTTGATGGCTGCTGAAATATTCCTTGAACTTCTAATTAAGAGTCCAGCATCTATCGTAGTTTCCAAGGTCCAATAACTAGAAGGAGTGCAAATTGGGAACATTTCTTCCAATACCACTCCAATATTACCTGGAAAATTGCAGAAATATTCCTTGAACTTCTAATTAAGAGTCCAGCATCTATCGTAGTTTCCAGGGTCCAATAACTAGAAGGAGTGCAAATTGGGAACATTTCTTCCAATACCACTCCAATATTACCTGGAAAATTGCGAAGAGGTGAAGCCTTATCGAAACGATTAATGTTCGATAAGGTTCCTTTCTCTTGATCCGGTAATTCTTCTATTTCTAAAGAATAAACAGCAGTGGTTGCAAGAAGAAACAAGATATATTTCGAAAGAGCCATTCTTCTCCACTTTGAAAAATTCACAGTACGTTACTCCGTTCAAAAACGTACTCAGACTGCTGTATCCGAGCTCATGCGCATATGTTGATGCAATCAATGTCTGTCTGTTGTCTTTCGTCGACGCGTCCGTGGGCTGGCTTGCTGTTTGGAACAGGAACGCAGCGTTTCTTTCCTTGCGTTCTTTTCTGTGTCCTTGTCGTCTTCCTTTCTAGCTTCGCCTGTCGTCCTAGATGGAACAATGTTGCGCTTGTCCAGCCCTTTCATGGGACCCAGCTGGGACGGCTTTTTTAGTCGACAAAGCGGTTTCAAAAAGTTTCGCTTGGGTTTTACCCGAACAAAAACTTGCTCGTCACTTGCTGTTGCTCCATCCGGTTGATTTCCATCAAGGTCGACTTCACCAGGTTGAGGCTGTTCTCTCTGACTCTCCGATTCTCTGTCTGCATTTTTATGCTGGTCATGCTCTAGCGATGGCCTCGGTGTGCTGAACACGGGTGGTTTCCCTCCCTGCATCACCGTATCGGAGAGGGTAGGGAGTGACTCCTTACTCCCAGAGAGGTCAAAGAACCGACCAACTTTGTCCGTGATATCGGACATCAAATCCTTTGTTCGTTTCAGAATGCCAGGTTTTTTTGGGCTAGGCGATGGAACTACAGTTTCGTCAAAACTCATTAAGTCAGGAGCGGAAACAAAACTATCTGTATTTGTTTCTTCAGATACATCTGTAATTTCTGTTTCTCCTGATTCTGAAACATTGCTGGATGGTTCTAGTTCAAATTCATATTCCCTTGATTCTTGAGTTTGAGGAGTGGGTATTCTTTGAGTTGAGACATCTTGTTTGTCTCCGTCATCTTCATCAGCGGATTCTCCAGATGATGTTACAGGAGAGGGTACTGGTGACGATCTCCTGGTGATACGGACGGACATAGCTAATATGTACAACGTCTGTCCAATCAGGTTGAGTGTCATCTCGAACTCTAATTACCACTGGATTGATGACTTCGATGACCGTATAGGGTCCCTTGTATTTAGGGGACCACTTTCTACCCACATACGTGGCTTGTTCATGCCTACGTATCCAAACTTTATCTCCCTTGCTGTATATA